CGGGCGGCGGAGGGGGAGGGGCCCCAGGTGAGCGGGCTGCGCTTAGGTGCCCAGGCGGTTCCAGAGACGCCGAGAGCGAACCCCGCAATGGTAGTGAGGAGGAATGGGTTTGGCGGCTCCAGGTCAATGCCATGAAAGTACCCCCCCCCCCGGGGGCTCGAACCCCTCACCTCTGGGACCCGGCAACAAAGGGCCGTGTCGCCCATCCCGCGCTTAGGGGAGGTTTTGGGTCTGGCAGCCCCACACCTGTTGCGCAGGCAGATTTCATCCTAGTCTGGCCAAGATGGGGGATCCCTTCCTCACTTCCTTGCCAAGGACTGTGCCAGGCATTGCCAAAGTATCCGTGGGAACTGGGGCAGGGAGGGGCTGTTTTAGGTGAGCCTACATCGATGAGAAAGAAACCAGAGGGTGGAGATGGGAATTGTGGCTGGGATAGAAGGTGGGATCCTGGCCACACTGGGGTGTGTGGGGGGAAGGGCAAGTCTCCCCAGAATTACTAGCTTAAGGCCAGATTCCCTCCTTAGCAAGATTATGCGGGTGGGGTGACTGGTATCCTGGTTGGAGCCACATGGACCACTCTGCACCAGACTGTCTCCTTCAAAGGAGCACTGAGATTGGAGGTTAGAAACCAAACGGCAGCCTTTATTTTGAGCAAACTTCCCCAAAGATCCATCCAGTTGAGTTTCCTCCATCTCCTGAGCAAAAGCATTCCTTTGAATTTTGATTGCCTACCTTCCCTCCACCCCCACTCACCCACAGCACTGTGTGAGATGGACAGAGGCTTACACCTGGAGGGCCCGAGCTCAGCCTTTCTCCATTCCCAGTTTCTCACCCCAGGAGGGTGACTCAAGAATCTGCTGGTCCCTTTACCTTCCAGGGCTACAGGGAAATTAGAAAACCAAAACTCTGAAAGGGTTTGATGGGATCTATGGGAGAAAGCACCGTGCATGGAAGAGAAAGACCACCCAAACCAACTGGCTTCCCACTTATGTGACTCGTTCTTATTCCCTTGGCAAGAAGAAGGGGCCTTATCTCAAGATCATCTTTACTCTGCCTGTAGCCTGTCTAGCCCTGAGTGGTGCAGTCCAGCCCTGCCCAGCCTCTTCCTCCTGCTGGATTTGGCAAACAATGTTGTCGGATCCCCTATGGCTGAGGGGATCCATCACTACTGGGGTGGTGGTGGTGGGGGAGTACACTTTCACAGTTCCCTCTTCATCCAGTACAATTTGGAGGTTAATATAGTGAATTCTTCTGTATTGGACGTTCCCAGACACTGTCTTCTCTCTTTTGTGCCTTCTCCTAGTTCTTCAGTATTCCTATATCCTCCTCTTTCATTCTCTGCCTTTCAATCCTTTCTGTTCTTCCAGAGGGCAGAAAGGAGGCATGAAGTGTGAAAAAATATGACCCTCAAGGTGCTCCTGGGAGATAACTCTAATAAAGAAGACAGCTGCTGAGGCATCTGCTTCTCCCCCAACCCCCAGTCTATTCCCCAGACCTCCCTTTTTGGGATTCTCCCTACCACCAGGGGGTCCTGGTAACAGTTGTTCTGCCATCAACCTCATTGCTTCCCCATACACCTTGCGGTCTTCATCCCCTTCTGGGACAATGGTGTCTAAGGCTGCTTCTGAAGCGTGAGTTGCCATGCCAACCACCCCCAGGAGATAGATTCAAGTTCCCCTTACCTGGGTCACTCCCCTGGGTCTTGTAGGAGGAGATTCAGAGCCTCTCTCGCTCTCCCTTATCTTTTAGTTGCTACTCAAGGTCGCCCCCCCCTCCCCATTTCTCACCTCACCCACATCTGCTTATTCCAGTTCTGATGCCTGTCCTGTGATAAGACATGTGCCTGTCATTGTCCATGTCACCCTAAGCCCGTTCTTTTCCATGATTGCACGTAAGGGGAGAGAGTTGAGGGGGAAAAAAAAAAAAGGATTTCTGGAGAGGCTTCTTCCTGCCCTCCTCTTTCTAAGGAAAGAGCTGCTAGACTGGCAGCTGGCAGGCACCCAAGGCATAGAAGCAAGACATAGGGGGCGAAATCCAAATAACCAGGTTTGGGAGTTGGAGTTCTCCGGGAGCCTCCAGGATACCTAGCTTCTCCTGTAAGTACACCAGGAAGCTGGGCAGATCCCAACCCCTGAGCATTGAATGGGGAAACTGAGGCAGGCACCAGACCTCGGGGAAATCCTCCTCAGCAGTCTTTAAGAGCCGGACCCAGCCAAAGCCCCCAGCATTCTAGCTGTCCCCAGGGGACCCAGGGAGGGGCACGAAGCCCTCCTTTCCCCTATTTTCTAGCCCCTTTCCTGCCTCCCCAGGCAGCCATCCCTTCTCATTCCTATTCAAGTGCTTGGAAGCTGCCAGCTCCGGCCACTCCCTTCTTTCTTACTGCCTCTTCCACTCTAAGCCTCATCTCTGATCTCCCTCCCCATCACTGCAATTTCCCCCTAATTGGAGCCCACTTCTTGGCTCGGAGTGGGGCTTCCCTCCCACCCACTGGGGAGGGGCCCCGCGTTTACCTCATTCAGCAGGAAGGTTGCACTGGAGTCAGAAAAAGACATAGACCGGGCCAGCGGCCTCTCCCCCTCCCCCGGGCCAGGGGCTCCGAGGCGGGAGCTGGACCCGGCTCCCTTCCCTCTCTCCGGGTTCCCTCCCCCTTTTCTCCTCCCTCCCTCCCTCCTTCCTTCTCCCGTTCTCGCCTTGCCTTCTCTAGTCACTCTCGCCCTCTCCCGTCGCCTTTCAGCCCTGTTCTCTCCATTTCAGTCTCTTCCTTCTCTTTACGGTCCCTGTTTATCAGGGTGCCTCCCACTGTCCTTCCATCCACGTAGTCCCTCCTCCGCCCCCCCCCCCATTTCTTCCTGTCCCCTCCCCAGAAGAGGGACTGGAGCTCCCACCGCCACAGGCAGAAGGGCCGGAGTAGCCCAAGGGCCGCCCAACTCCGGAGTTTCGAGTGGAAGGTTCTGCTTTCCGCGGCCCCAGCTCCGGGCGCCCGCGCCCAGCGTCCGGGGAGGAGAGCGCCGCGGTCCCAGCGCGGCTCCGACCGACCTCAGCAGAGGACCGGGTGGACCAGAGGAGAACGCTCGTGTGCTGCTCGCTGCCCCTGCGTCCAGGCTCTCCCTCTGGGTTCCGGGGAAGCCCGTCCACCTCCCTGTCCCAGGTCCAGACCCTGTGGCCTCGCTGGGATCTGCCCGGCGCCCGGGGAGTCTCGGTCCCTGCTCTCTCCGGGCCGGCGTGTCGGAACTCAGC